AATTTTCGTGGTTTGAGGAAAAAATGTTGGTTCGTGGGGATTTGATTTCGTGGATGAAGAACTTTTTAGTAGTTATGCATATGAAAATTTACATTACGTGGTGGACATAAATTCATGGGTCTCTTCATACCACGAAAACAACGAAAATTAAACCCCCACGAAAATTAGTGATTTCACAGTAGTCTCTTTCTGGATTTGAATTAATATATATACTAGTATATAAATAAGGCGCTGTGTGAGCCCCCCCCCCCCCCTTCCTTACAAAATACCCCCCCCCCCCCCCAAAAAAAAATACTGATAAAATGCTGACACATATTCGAGTAGGCCTATTTTTTCTAAAAAGCTAATTTTCGATAGTGGATGTTCTGCACATCGTCATTATTTACAATATGTGCAGAACAAAATAAGAATTTTTGGTTATATGTTTTTTTTTAAGAATTAATTTAGCCTGCTTTGAGCCATATTTTCTTCTCTGCATCTATACTCTAGGAATTTTTTGAAGACTGATGACATGTCCATCTTCAGTTTTACTTATGAAATTGTTGCATATACCACGGGTGCTTGGGGACGGTACCCCTACCCTCCGACACTATATATTATGATATTGATTCACATGAGTAATGTTTGAAGTAGCTTAATGGTGACGATGGCAACTTATGTTAAACTTAATGGATCTTATACCCAATTAAATGACGCGTTACAACTAAAATTTGATTATTAAACGATAATGCATAAAAAATATTTAAATGCATTTAAACCTATGCTGAAATCACGATCAAACAAAGTTTGATATTATCATTCTTGAAAATGACTTTTATTAGAAATGTAAGCGCTATATTCTAAAGGTTCATAATCGGATAAATCTTAACATTGATAGTTCGATCATATATTAAGAATCCTAAATTCTAAACATTATCATTTGCTACTTTTCTCAATATGTATACAGTCAAACCTGTATTAAGAGACCTTCCAGCGGAGAAAGGAAAAAAGGCCACATGTGACAGGTGGTCTCTTAATACAGGTTGCTTATTTTTCGGTGTTCAAAATATACAATGCTGAAAATATCACACGTGTATGGTGAATGTATTTTATAGCACCCTTTGTTTATTTTCACTTTTTAATGGGTACTGCTCAACTCTAAAATGCTTTTACAATATTGTCCTGTTAAGAAATAAAAATTTTTTCATACAAAATAAAATAGCTGCAAAGTTTTTTTTCCCCTAATAATAGTTTTTTTTTCATGATAGCCTATAAATAACTTCATATGTTTGCATATTACTAAGAAGAAAAATTGTATCATGATTTTTGTAATGCACTTGGTATCAAATTGAATTATATTTATGACTGAAATATTTATTTCACCTAATTGATTTTTTTTTCATTACTGACCTACCGTGTCTAATTGCCTGTTTGTGATTTAAATCACTTCGATTATCACAAGGTGTGGGTGCTAGCTAGCGTGTGTTTACCGATCCATTTGTGTCACAATGCACTTAAATAAACATCTATGATTAAGTTACGTCTTAATTAAAGTTAAACAGGCAGGAAAAACACGGTCGTGGGTCGCGTTTGACAGGTGGTCGTTTAATACTGGTAGAATATATAGGGAAAAGCGTTGGGGGGAATTTTTATAGTCACATGTGACAGTGAGTCGCTTAATACAGTGGGTCGCTATGACAGTTTTGACAGTATAGGGTTGGTATTATTTTATCAAATGCTGTTGGATATCTGAACCATGGATCGAAATAAAACGAGGATATAAGTCTATTTCTCCTTGTAACGTTTGTGACACTATAAAAATGCAATGTATTAATTTTTAACGTAAAAAAAGAATAATGTATTAAAAAAAAGAAATATCAAGTTAATGCAATGTTTAATGTTTGTCAATATTTAATAAAATTTCAATTGTATAAAATACAGTAAAACACGTTTAGTACGAACACGGATATAGCGAATTCACGGATATAACGAAGTTTTTCTGGGTCCCCGGCAAAATTCTTAACAAATCTTCGTAAAATGTTGCGGTTATAATGAACTTTGATATAACGAATTTACGGATATAGCGAACTGATTTTGAGTCCCGTTAGGTTAAATATCATGAATTTTACATCTTTTATAACGAACTTTCAAAGATTTCAAAATTTGAATAATTGAACTGACTTTATTTTCTCTCAGCATTTGTATATAAAATTCAATTCATAATAAAACCTTAGTTATCGAAGGTATGTTTTGTAATATTTGCTTCCCTAACATATTTGATAGTAACACTTGAAGGAAAACATGCATATTGCGAATTCGCTATATATGATTATACGACTTCGTTATACGGATATAACGAATTACGGATATAGCGAATTAAATTCACAGGTCCCCATAACTTCGCTATAACCGTGTTTTACTGTATAGCGACAAATATGAAATAAGCTGCATTTGACAACAATATTTTTAATATCTGAGTCCAAATTAGAAAAGAATTGTTTTCGGGATCAACATTTAGTTTTTTTTGTCTGATTTTGCTTTTGATAAGCATATAGTTTCGATATTTGGTTATTTGAAGGAACAATGTACTTTTTTTCTTTTTTTTGCAAAATGTTATGTTAAAGTAATATAGAAAAACTCATAAAAACTCAATTAAATTACTTACTATGAAATAACACAGAAAATAAAATGATAAGAGTCCTCTGCACCACATATCTGTATAACTTATACAAAGTTCTTAGGAGTTCAAGCTTTCGAATTTCGAATGGTGATACAGTATGATTTATGTGAAATATCCACCTGTGGGACGTCTAATTTAAAATCCGACAAAATTTGATATTAATGAAGTTGTGTTATGACTGTAAACATATGAATTTAATTTATTGTTGTGTAATGATACAAAGCACTTGTCTATGTCGGTGTTGATAAAATGTATATATTTAATTCAATGCAAAATCCAATGAAACATGTATCTCGATTGAGGAAATTATTATTTGGCGTACTATTTTTACAACAAAAGAGTACAGTTAAGGTTGCAGAAATGAGGCGGGCTTAATCTATACAGTAAATGTTTACTATAACGTCACACAAAATATCATGTCTTCAAAATACCACAAAATGAAATATTTAAACTGCTGGATTGCTGTAGACTACATAAAAACTTACTATTGAATGGAGTTTTCTCGAATGTTAAATCCCACACAAATATATATAAACGATGCATCGATCGCAATGCACTTTTCAATGTGACATCATCTCGCAAAAGTTGACGCAGTTTGTGCACAGTGAGAGGCTGATCAAGTCACATTTTGTAAAAGAAAAAATGTCTTTCGTTCTCAAATAAATTAAATTGCAGTTATATAAAAGGTTGTTACTTTGGATGCAATGTCTATTTAACTATTTAATTTACATACTCTCAGTATATTCTCTCCAGACAATGAATTATCGAAGACCGACCTAATTCATTTCTACAAAAAAATTTTATTCAAATTTTAATATGATTTAAAGTGACCTTTTTTGAGTTAAAATCAACGAAAATAATACATATGGTCACCGGTATGGATTTTTAATAGGGAGAGTTTCAAAATTAGGAAACGGAATTCGATAATTGCTATAGGAAGTAATGGGAAATTGCTATTTTGTGCTGTAAAAGTGATACATGTAATAAAAAAAAACTGCAGTATAATTTGTATTTATATTAAAAGATTAAAAGACAATGTTAACAAGATAAAATACTAGCAAATTATGCTCAAAATAAATCTGCCAAGATTTTTTAAAGATATGTGTCAATCTCCGGTGACTTGTATATTCTAGGATTTTTTTTTCATTGAAAATATCCTGGCCAAATGAATTTTGTTTTATTTCCTTATTCTTCAATTTACTTTTATAATACATAAAAATAGAAATTTAAAGTTGTTTAAAACCCTGGGAATGGTGATACAGTATGATTTATGTCAAATATATGCGCATATTACTCTAGGGATTGTCTCAAAGTACCTTTTATGTTACCTGCGTTCTATTGGTCCCCTGTGTAACAAATCAATATCTGCAAGCCTGGGTATTCCAAAAGTTTAAGGTTTTCTTATTATAATTAACACAAATACATGAACATGATACATTGTTTGTCAAATTAGAAATAAGCAGAGATATTTAAAGGTTATTAAGTATTTAAGTATAAGGGACTATTTCATATACATGTTTTGGTTTAAATTGTCTTTTCAAGTACTTTACTGTCTTTACATGTACTTTGCGGTGAATCTTTTTTGATATGGTGTTGTACATTTTTTACGGAGGGGGGGGGGTTAAATTATTTCCCAAGTTTTCCAATTGGGAACTTATGTGTCTTTGTACTAAACATGCATGTTATGAGCATTAAACCATACAACCAAAAACTTTACAGTCATGCACCTGTGTTTTTTTCTACTCTGAGCCAAGGCTACTTAAATTGTAAAAGTATAAAAAAAAAATGATGACAGATAAAAAAGATTGCAGTATAAAGTATGAAAAAGTACCATTCGGTATCAAATATAATGTATTGATGAAATATACAAGAATATTTTACTTTTATGTGTTTGTTCATGACGATTTCAATCATTTTAAATAACTATTAGCTGTTTCCTATACATGTACAAACTTTTATTATTTCAACTTTTTTATGGGAAATAACATATATACATGCAGGGTAAAACTAACCGTGCACTAACTAGAGTTCCTAAGAATTTCATCACATCTGTACATCTAAGAAATGATGTACATGCTGTTTACATGTAAAGCAAAACTTTGTACTTGCAATTGTTATATATGAAAAGTTTGTGAAATTTTTCCAGTTGTTAATCATATATTTTGGTGCTGCAAAGTTGGAGATTTTTTGGTTGTGAGAGTAAAATTTGAGGTCCTATGAAACAGCAGACATACATGTAGATACACTAAAGAACTCTCACTATTCTTTACTCCGTAGTTTCATTTACTGCATCTTGTGGCTTCTCATCTGGATGGTATTGGCAACGAAATACACGACTCACTAGACGCTTGTGGACCTTTAGGATTAGCATTCTCTTTTCCTATTTCATTATTGACAGTAGCTTCTGATTTCATTGACGAATAGCATAACTGTCTACATTTGTTACACACTACATCTGCATCACACAAATCAATCACAAATGCCTTAAACAAAAACTGTCACAGAGCTTTGTTCTGACTGCTTGTGACAGGCCACCTCTAATTTTTTTAAATTCGCTTGTGGCAAGTTACACATGAGTAGGGCCTCAATCTACCCGACATTGTTAGTATTCATTCTGAAATAAAGAAAAAAAATCTCTGTTTATAAATATAATTAGTTAAAATTGTACACATGGCTAGACAAAAAAAAAAACAGAAACTATGTAAATGCAGTATATATTTATGCTAATATTAAACATGGACATAGTCACAAAGTCAACCAAATAAAGCAAATGAGGTTGTGTATGTGTGTTTAAGGGGATGTCAAGCTGTAAATGATATATTCGATGCACGAGGAGTTCCAGGTACATGTATAAGGAAACACCCAGATCTCGACGAAAGTGTGTGTGGGATTCCCAAACCAAATACATTGATATTTTATTCATCCATTATATTATTTCATCCACATTATATATATTTGAATCTGCATAAAATATGAATATTTTCAATATAAAAAAAAAGTGTTGTATAGTATATTTTGTAGCAGTATAATAATTTTAAGATATAAGAAACCCGGACCTAGAAAAGTTGACGATATCATAATTTAAGTGCCAGAATCATTGCATAATTATGTAGAATTAATATCACAAGATTGATTGATAAATTGGTACATAACTCCGAGTCGGCAATATTTCAACCATATTTCGGCGGGAAATAATGTTTACCTGATCGGTTTTGAAAGCAGATGTTTGAGAGTGCTTTTTTGTTGTTGTTTCTCTGTCATATCACAAGAAGATGGGAATAACCAAAAGAAACCATACTAATCAGAATTGAATGTGTTGAGACAAGGGGTGATATTTTATTTGAAAACGGAGAGAAAAATTTAAATTAAATAATTAAAAAAGAGTTGATCAGTAATACTTCGCTACATAGCGGTGAGTCAGGACAGCATAAGGCCATAAACCGGCAGTAATGTTTTTCCCTACTTTTTCTTGTATATAAAATTTTCTACATATATGAAGGCTTAAAATTGTTAAGGTTAAGGTGTAAGGATTGATATTTACAAATGTATTTATCTTCCTTGATTGATTTTTATATCTTTAAAAAATATTTAGAAATTATAAATAAAGAAGGATGTTAAGTTGGAATGTTAAAGGAGGCGGGAGGGGTACAGGTATGCATGTATTTTTTTCAATTTGAAGTAATAAGATAAATAAGCAATCATTCGTGATGATTTTCAATATATGACACTTCAATGATTCGAATGTTTGCTAGGGTTGCAGAATAAGGAGTTGGAATGTAAAAGGAAGCGATGGGATGCAGATTGAAACCAACTGTGTGATGTATACATTGTAGACCGGGTTTTCCAGTGCATGAAACTGAAGGGAAGTTCGACAACAAACAGTACCACCCCCCCCCCCCAATCCCCCTCTGTTCCACACACACACACACACACACACACACACTTACACAGAAAGACCATTGCGTGTTTGTACCCTAACCCTTACTCTGAGGATTCGATTTTTTTTCAGTGAATTTGAAATATTTATCACAAGATATTATGGAAATCATTCTTGTCATTTCAATTTTGACAATGTCTGAAATAATGTATATCTTTTATATCTATAAAATGTCTATATTTGCGACAAATGGTGGGGGGCTAATTTAGCCTCCATATCCTTCCCCCGTTTCCGACGCCTATGATACGTGCCTAATGACATATATCCGATATACCTTTTTCAAAATTAATTGAAATTCATATAGATCTACAGTATAATTAATTTTTCGTGTGATGTTACTATCTATGGTTTACTTTTACTAGTGATGGAAGTAAATTAATTACCAAGACCCTCTGGTACTCTGTCTTATCTTTCCTTGATTCTGCAATGAGGTTCATATTTTTATGAGGTCGATGGTTTTAGCAAAAAAGGAGGAATAACTCACAAGCTTGATGTATAGAATTTTGGCGTTATATAACCCACGTTTCTGTTGTGTAGAAAACTTAAAAGTGTAAGTTACACAATTAACTAGTGCTTATTGTAACGGGGACCGTTACAGATGTTCCCCAAACGCTCTCCATGTCCCCTTCCCTGCCTTATTTTTCTTAGACTTTTTATAAATATGCTAAGTATCCAAGGATTTCATTTAAGAATATAAAAAGTTACAATGATATCAACTATATTTCTTTTAACGTTTTGCACCTGCGCACACATACATGTACATGCATATGCAAGATTATTATGGCATGTTGTTTAAGCGATTTACAAATCATTCTATCCCGCGAATCAGAGAAAAAAAGTACAAATATAAAGTTACCATTTTTCAAGCATACGACATTTTTTTAATATATCGATTCACATTTAATTTCTCTACTTATTTTAACCTCGGGCTCAAAGTTGGTTTTATTCCGACGACAAGGCAGGGTAAAAGTCGACTAAGGGTATCACGCCGATAGCTAATCAATCAAATTGAACTTATTCAATAGTAGTTCCATACATGGAAAAGGGATTTTCTTTTCTGTTCAGAATCTGTTTTATATTTCCTCTCAGGCCATTTTGACAACTCTGGTACCTGTGCTTAATAAATTTTATGTACTTTGTAAATAAATATATAAAAGTTTTTGACCGGAACTATTCATTTTTACCAATGCATAGGGGGCTACTTTCGGGGGTTTACAAGAGATTTTTAAAAAGATTTTCGTGTTAGCTAATTATGAGACCAATATTGTTTTAACACCTTTTTATTAATATTTTTTTACATGAATGCAAATACCTGATTATTTTACGAAGGAACGTACATGTCTAACCAGAGTTGTCTTCCGCTCACTACACCTCTGTCAACTGTCGTTGTACAAGATTCTTGTACAAATTCTAAACGGTGAAAATTTGAAGTTAAAATAGTAATCAATTATTGTAATTATTGATAAAGATGTTAATAAATCATTTATTTCAAACCTACATTCCCTCAAAGCGACTTATTTTCAAAATTTTTAGGGAACTATTATGCGGAGTAAAAATTAAAATCCTTTTAAGGTGTAACAAATTAAAAAAAAAATGTTTTCGGAATAAGAAATATAATATTTCAAACGACTATTAATACAATTTTTAATCATTTACAATTTCTCCAAGAATCTTGAAAAACAAGCGTTGACAGAAGTGTATGTGGGAGCGCAGCGGGAACGACAGCTCTGGATAGAGAATGACATACAATGGCATACAATATTGATTTCTAATATACCGAAAATCGCTTTTTCTGGGGATTGCGTATATCTAAAGAAAATTGAAATAAATTTCAAAGGTAAAATAAACAAAGGATGATGATATTAAGATATTATTTCAAATCAGTAGAATTGAATGCTATTAACGACATCTGAATAAATAGGCTATAAAAGGCTATAAAAGGCTTATATACCAACTTTGTTCATCTGCACTTTAATTTTAAACACGACAGGATTTGTAATTATTTCCGTATAAATTAATAATTTCTATATACTTTGGAAACTCAAATAAAATATTTAAATACACTCTCCTTGAGCTCTTTTCTGCAGTTTTCCTGAAATTTTATAGGAGTCCGGAGTGTTATTTGAGTTTAACAGCGATTCTCTATGTTGCCATTAATTTGATTTGTTTGGTTGTTGCGAGGGGGAAGGGGGGTATTTTTATTCTTAACCCATTTAACGTTGGAGTTGAATCTTGTATCTTACTGCAAGAACTTAAGATTGATTGTGACATTTGGATGAAAGGTTAAGGTCATGAAAAAACACTACCTCTTTAACTTTTATCCTGCCAACCAAAATAAACTCTGAAAGGTGTTTCTAGATACATGTAAATACCCTTCATGTTTCTTTTACCCTTGGGTCAAGGACAAAGGTTAAGGCCGATTTCAAGTTTATAGGTTAATTTGATTTTGACAAATAGCTAATATCAACATTTTATTCAGGTTGCCAGTGACCTTGACCTAAGTTGCAAGGTCAAGGGTCATAAGATCTGCATGCTTCAGTATGTTACATGTGTTGACATTTAGAAGTTCTTAATTCTGCATCAAAAACTCAACTATACTGTCGTTTAATGCATTGTGTGCGGGTGCATGTGCATGCACGTCTTTGCATTTACTTTTGATAGTAGCATAATGTAGGAATCCATTATACCTATTCATATTCTGAATTTCATCCCGTTTCGTTGAGAACTTAGAAAGTTACACTACTGAACTTAAAATTCCCTGATATTCTGAAAATTCTCTGATAAACTCTGTTACCCACTGTTAAAGTTCTGCTTTTCTCTGTTTAAGCACTGTACACTCACTGTACAAAATCCCTGTACCCACTGTAATCCTCGGTAAATCACAGTACAGACTCACTGTTATTTTTTGTACATCCCTGTACATTACTGTACGCCCCCACTGTACAGCACTGTACACCACTGTCTGTCATTGTACGCCTCCACAGTACAACACTGTACATCACAGACGCGTACAGTACTCAATCTCTGTACAGCACAGTACACTACTATTGATCACTGTACGCGTCCCAGACTGGCACTGTACATCACTGAATTTCAATGTACGCATCCCAGTTTGGCACTGTACATCACTGAACCACACTGTGATTTTATTTTAGACTTATTTCACTTTCACAGTTCTTAAAGTTACAGATATTTTAACTTCAATAAGTGTTAAGATTAAGCCGATTGGGTAATTTAGACTTAGTGAATGATATATTTATTTTAAGAATGCTGTTTTTTTAGAATGCTATTTTTTGCTGATAGGTACACTTAGTATACACTTATACCATATATAAAAAGTACAAAAATAAATTCTATAGGTTAAATGTGATATCATAAATTATAAATATAATGAATAATTATGATTTCTCTAGTATTGACGTTTTAAATTAACCGAGCAATTCTAATCAATTATATATCATCATTTACATGTATTGTTCTGAACAATTCTAAAGTCACATTGTCATTTTCCATATAGTTCCATATGCGGTAAACGGCTGAATTTCATTTCTGGGATTTTTTACAACTCTTTATTTCCGACCTCTTAAAGTTTTCATCTCCAGCATTTTTCGGATAGTTTTTTTTTCAGGAATGAAAGTATAGGATCAAACAATTCACTTTCAAATTATAGTATATCAAATTTCGGTTTATTCAACATGTTCAATTTAAGGGCATTTGATTTAGTGAACATTAAATGCATTCTTATTGAACTCTTTTTAAATTATTACATGTATAGTGCTCGATCGTGTATACAGGTGAAGGTATACAAAATTCTTATATTATGTTTTTAGTAATATTCTGAAAAGATATACCAATACTTGGTAAACATATGATTGTCTGAGAGGTACAGGGTAAAACTCTCAGAGTTAAAAAAAAATTGAAAATGAATTTTTAAAAAATTTCTGAATTCTTATCATGCAGATTTCCGGGAATGAAATGCAGTGCAGTAAATAAAATGCTTTGGTGGGCAATATTTCATGAAGAGAAAAAATTTTGAAACATTGATACATTATTATTATTTTTTTAGACTCTCTCTCTCTCTCTCTCGCTCATAAATTTATATCATATTTTAAACACTTGATATCAAATAATAATTATTGTTTCAATTGATTAGTTTATACATATTATATATTTAAGCATTTTAAATAAAAGTCGAAAGTGTGATTCAATGGGTAAGGTGGCTTATCATGGTCGTGGATTAACGTGTACACTCAACAGAAAATGTATACCTATCAGGAAAACGGTGGATTAAGCAGTGGACGATAGCCAGAGATTTAAACAAAAGGTGTCAAGACCGAGTGTCCTGATATATCAACAGGAGTGGTTACACAACAACAGGAATCAATATACGTTGAATGTCTTGAAAGCTTCAAACTAAAGAATTTTGTTGAATTAACAAAAATGCAAATACAGACACAGATTTAGATTGTACTTGCTGAGACATTTATTTTGATATCCATATTGCATTTATTATTTTTAATTATTATTTTCATTAGTCATTTGGGTTATAGTTACATTTTTTTTTCTTTCTCCAAGTCCTCAAAAAAAAATTTTAGCAAACAAGCGAGAAAGAAAGTTATTTGAAATAGACGTAAACTTAGAATGTTACAATTTTTTTCACCATAGATTCACATAGATTTTTTTCACCAACAATTGTATCACTAAACTTTTCATCCGAGAGGATGGAACTGTAGCTCCATTGAAGAGAAAATTAGGCAGACAGCCCTGATCGAATTTCCAGGGGGCCAAATTTTTTTTCTAGTTTTAGGGACAAATTCATTGTGAGCCCCCCCCCAAAAAAAAAAAAAAGAGAGAGAGGGGGAGAGAGAGAGAGAGAAGAAAAACACCTCCTCTCTTTTATTTATTTGATTTAAAAGAAAGATTAATTAAAATAATTTATTAATGCACACTTACTATCATCTGTTAATTTCATGACCATATGGAGATTAAGAATGTACATTGTAATTTATCTAAGATTAATTTGAAGAGCTGCATGGTTTATGCGGTACTTTACTTGGTATTTATTTTTCTGGGTTATTGTTAGTCGGAAAATCTTAACTGAATAATTTTCGAATTACATACACAAGTATGAGAAAATGAATTCGCCATTAATACCCGGTACATGTTTCACTGGTCAAAAAGATCGCAGATATATATTTCTTCAATGTGCAAATCCATGACTTTTAAAAAAAAATACAATTGCACTCGCCATAAAAATACATTTGGAATTAAAATCGAGATCGTGCTCCGCACCTATAACAATCTTCAACGGAAGGAGGAAAGAAATGTGGCTGAAAAACGTGATGATTCAAGGACAACTTTCAGACCTCTCTCTCGGACAAGCTATCAAGTTATTTCGGACAAGATGACAACATTCAGTTGGTTGAGTACTGACAAAGTAAGTACATCAGAATATCTGCCATTGGGTTGTTGATTTAAACATTTTATTGAAACATAATCAATGGGATTAGACACAAGTTCTTGGGTTTTTCATTTGAATACATCAGTAAGCTAAGTTTCACACAGAGATTAAACATTGATCCCATGTCTCATGATTTCATGCATATTGATATTGTAACCCCAATCCCGTTTTAATGGTGGAAAGAAAACTTATTAATGTCCCATAAACATGCTTTGGTCATTCGAATCGAGCCGGAAATATATAAGCACCCATATAATCTTGAATAATGAAAAAAAGAAATGATAGATAATAATTTATTTCGTCATGACAATAAATACAGATTTACATGTACTTAATTAATAGGATCTCTTTCATGAATTTGTTATACAGTTCTTACACACCAATGCGACAATCAATGTAAAGTTCTTAACATGCACAATAAAGTTATGGTTTATTGTCAATAATACAAAATTGTAGTCAAACGTCTGTTGGCAGTCCAAGTAATTTTGGGTTCACTCAATCACTGTTCAGAGGGACTTCTTCTTTCTTGTAGCTAGGGTTGACAGGGGGACATCACTGTCACTGTCAGTGTCTGGGTCAAATCCTCTGTTGTCAACACCACTGGAAAAAAGTTAAAAAAATAAATTATTATATGATTTGATCATGGTATTCCAATTTTTTTTAAAAATCACATTTTATAGAATGTGCTGGTTATGAAAAGAAGATGAAATGCACATAAAAAATTATTAACTTAATTTAAGCAGTAAATAAAATTAAGGATACTGACTATCTTAAACTTAAATGAAATTTATGAGAAAAAAAAATTAAATGCATTTTTTGTTCAGTTTGTTCATTTAAGGTATTCAATGTATAACGAAGGGATTTTGACTGATTTTAAATAATTTTAAACTAGTTAAAAGCATACAGCTAGAAAACGATAAAAGTGAAATAAACCAAATTCACAAGACTGATAACATGTAAGGAGACGGTCATTTTGCACATTTACAGTTTTTGAAGAGTTATCTGCCCTTGATGAAAAGAAGAAAATTTTTGATTTCACAAAATTCCTGCGGTAAATAATTTATTTTATTTTATATTTTAATAAAGAGGGAGTTTATGCATATTTTCACCAAGAGATTTCTTTGAAATTCAAATTGCTTTTTACAATATCTTATAAAAACATGCACTGTCCATAGACTTCAAATGATGTAAAATTCAAAGTGATATTAATTGGACAATAATCAAAATTTTGTAAATTCCTTTGGTGGAGCATTTTCATTTGATAATATCTTCAAATTACTACCATGATTAAAAATATTGGACCGTTCATTTATTAGGTACAAAATATGGTCGTTATACATTGAATACCTTAATATGAGAGAGTAAGATGAGAAACGCTGAACTTACACATCATGTAGGTCAGATCCAAGATCTCCTTGAAGTAAGGGCTCTTCATCAGTGGGACTGGGCTGTCTGTTCTCCTTGTCGGATCCTGACTTTTTCTTCTTTATCACATGCCGCACTGGTAAACCATTGCTTGTTGCATGAGACCTGTGATTAAAGAATTAAAATTATCAAATGAAGTCCTTTGTATTTGTATTGTAACTGCTCTATGTTTTCACAAACAATTGTAGGATTGTCCTTTTAATTTCTATGTACATATTACACTGATCTCGCATAGAAAACTTATGATACTTGATAATTGATACATTAACTTCTTATAAATAATAATGAATATGGAACCTCAGCATACCTTTTTTTGGCATAGTATCTCCTCCACTCCAGGGATTTCTTCAGTCTGTCTGAAATCTTCTTTTCCTCAACTGTCTCGAGGGTGGAGTTGACACTGAGGTAATTCCGGATCTCTGACACTGCTGCGGGTAGGTGGCGGTCCTTAGCACTGACCAGCTGATATTTCTCAATGGTGCTGTTGATCATTCTCTGAGCAAAAAAAACAAACATTGAAAATGATAAAATTCATTTCTTTTCATGCAACTTTATATGGGTTATTGCTTGATGTTTTTTGAATGTAATTTTTCACAAAACAGGGGCTGACCAATAGATTTTTAAGGCATTTGTCCAAGAGCAAGTACATGTACATGGTCAAAATTGACTTGCCCTACCTGAATTTTTGCTTGCCCTACCATAAACTAATTCTTTATTTATAGATATTTCAAAAAAATAGGGAGAAGACAAATGCTGAATAAATCGCACAAGCCCCTCTGTCCAGCTTTAAATTTATGGCCTACAAATAAATTCTATTTTAAGTCACTTTCCCACGCGCAAGTGGTTGATAAAATTTCAATTGCCCACGCCTAAAATTCACTAGCCCCGGTCGTCGGGCAATGGGATTTGTCATCCCCTGCAAAAAGATTCTTGTGATTTTAAGATTTTAAGGGGCAATATATTCCTCTGCTCCAAATTTCACAACCTTTTTTTAAAAATCCAGACATTGATTTTCAGCAACAACTATAGCATTAAATTCAAATGGAAAATAGTTTGAAGTATGAAGCGTTGCTTACTTTTTCAGAAATAAATAATATACCAAATCATGATGTGAAGAGAATTTGATATGGTAAATAGAAAGATTAATTATTTTTTATCTCGTAATTAAATTACAAACATGAGGTATATAAAAAAATAATATTTACTCTCATACCTATCTAATTCCCATTATAAAACATACTGAAGCGCTGCTTTTTAAATCAGAACAACAAATTGTTTTCTGTGCATGCATGTAAAATAACACACATTCATAAACAAGAGCTATTGTTACATTATCTCCCTTGAAAATATTTTTTTTATGAAACAAAATATTAATTAAATGTTTACAAACAAAACTGCATCTGAAATTTCTGTACAATTCAAAGAATTATACTTTAAGAGATAGAGATTTCTCAATTTACACCATTTAAAGAAACTGAGTATAAATGTTTTAAGTAAACTTTTATAAATAATTTATAAATATACTAGCAATAAAAATCAGAAATCAACATTTGTACATTAGATTATAGGCTTGATTGAGTTGACTTTAAAATTGTCCTCATGAATGAAACCTGTAAACTTGGACATGACAATTCACTGAATTCCATGAAAAAATGTCTGAAGAAAGTTATCTCTCTTATCAGAGGGATATTCCACCTTAAAACTTTCCCTTTTACTCTACTTGTAAATTTTGATCAGAAAGCAAAGGGTGAATTGAAAATTAAATAAATGTTCTTTGAATAAAATTCGTTTATTTTTGTGAGATACTGTCATACGTGTATGAATTGAATTAAATATATTTTATTTACACAGTCTAAAAGATCTGATAGTTCAGTACCTTAGACAGTCCTCTCCTAATACATAATTGGGTAAAATTGCCAAAAAAAAAAACCACACAAATAAACATTTGGTCTTTGCCAAAATAAAATTGTTTGTTTTGAATTGACTCCCACCTCATTGAAATGCCCTCTCCTGAAAAAAATTTATTTACCAAAAGTAGGAAGATTTTTTTTTATCCAATATCACTTTTGTTCTTCCTATTACATGCATTACATGCACCATACAAAACACTGACATCTATATAGAATTTATAGGGGTTTTTTTGTTGATGCTAGATACTCTTTTTAAAAGTCGGAAAATGTATTAACGATGTTTACTGTTTACCATGTTTATGCTGAGATTTTTATTAAAATGTTAAATTTTATCTTCATGCAAATTCGATTCCCCCCTCCCTCCTGTGTTTGAAACCCTTCAGGCAGCAATTTCAAACAAAATTTCTTTAAGGATGGCCCTACTACATACATTGTATACATTGATCGTAGTAATAGAAAGGAAAAAAACTAAATTATTTAAATGTACAATTATAATTTGAGATATGGAGAAAAAAAGTATTAAAGTTATTTAATTTGTAAAACGACCACATTCATTTAAGAATGTTTGAGAAGTTTATTGAAATTCTATAATAAAACCAAAAAAGGTTATTTACAAGTAAATTGCTCTAGATGTCTACACTGACTGTTGAAGAAGCTGTGATATTGAAATGAACACATTATCATTAACTCTCCCCACCCTAGCTTACTAGGACATCTAAACAAAAATCAGGTATTGAGATAATAAAAATTACCTGCAGTGCTGCATGTTCAGAAGTTCCTCTTTTCCACAGGTTGTCCTTTACCATAGACATAGGAACCGTGTCGTATTCCTCTGTCTGTGTTGCAGTGGACTGCTTCGGGAAAGCACACGAACAGTAGTTACCAAGTTGCATACGCGCACAACAAATACAGTTAAAACCACACTGTCTGTTATACACTTGCACTGAATTTGGGTACGGATGGGAGGGTGCGCCATAGTCTTGATCTTGATGAAAGTTCAAAGATGAAAAAACAGGGTTCACATTTGCACTGGTAGACATGATGACACAGATTTCAACAAAACACACAGACAGTTAAAGTTTACTGTTAATCCAAGTGTTGCCAAAGTACAGAATGATGACTGTGGACAACATTCTTTGTGCTTTTAAGAAGTAATTAGCGTTCTCCTAATTAAATGAAACCATTTGAAATGGGCACTAGCTTGGTGTCATTTTAATTTTCATTGATCTCCCCCCTAGTGATTTTACTATCACAACATGTTTGATTTACATCTAATTATCATGATTAAACATATTGATATTAACTTTTTATCTTTTTTCATAATTAATGGATGGTATAAACTAGTTTTAATCACCTTGGACATGTTGGAATTGTAAAATTAATATAAATCTTAAAATTTATTAAAGATTTTAAAAAGTTTTATCTAAAATTCTGCATAAACTAAACAGAACATTTTTTTTATTTTAAAATTTATTAAATCAATGAACATGATGAAATAGGAAAGATTTGGCTAATTAGTCTCAGAATTCCATTGATGTTTATTCAGATCTGGAGTAAAATCAAGTAGCCTGTTAATTCAGTGGCCGTATACACAAACAAATCCCTTGTAACTGATGTCTGGGTACATCACATGATTATCAGTCCCTTTGATGCTGTAATGTTATGCAATATCAACAAATACAGTAGCCAATTCATCTAGTTCATCACTTCATTCAACAAGGAGAGACACTGCTGCTAGCTTAGTTTGATTTAATTTTTAGCATGCAATGTCTCTTACTACTTTTGTTCATTTGTATAATTATCCTGGCAGTTATGGAGAAAGTAAATAATGGTAATTTATGAATAAATGCATTTCATGATATTAATCATTTTGGATAATTTTTTAATTTAAAGTCATGATTAATTCAGTGAAATGGTGAATAAACTTGGTTTTATGTTCTACTGGGCTAATTCAAAAGTTATCTTTATTTTATTTACAGTAATATTTTAGTATATTTATTATTTAATTTAAAACACACTGTATGGTTTCTTCATTTTAAATCCAAACATTAGTAATTTTATTTTTCAATTGTTTCAGGTTCTCAGAGGTTTTGTATATGCTGGGAGTGTCAAGGAGAATGGGTTTCCAAGCACACTTTCTACTCACATCAAGAGACTATCACAAAAAATTTTTTATGTGCATTCAAGCCAAGATTTGACCTGTCCTTAGATGTGTACCAGCAGAAGAGGTATCAGCAGCCACTCTATGAGGGTTCGACCAATACTGTATTGGACGCAGTGACCAAGCACCTGTATACCTTTTCTATGAACCATGGGATGTCCAAGACAGCTCTTTCCGACACTCTTCAGTGTGAAAAGTCATCCTTGCCACAACCAAATTATCTGCCTGGGACATACAAGGAGGCAAAGACATTTATTTCTCCATTCCTTATCCCGCTGGAAAAATATGATGCATGTGTGAATGACTGTATTGTTTATCGGGATTCTGGAGCCCTTCTTTACTCAGATCTAAGTGACTGTCCAGTTTGTAGTGAGCCCAGAAAGAGCAGGAAAATCTTTACATACATGCCACTTGGACCAAGGCTAGCAAGATGGTATGAAACGCCCAACCTATGCAGACTTCTGTATGCAGAGAAACTTCAAGTAAGAAGAGATGGCATTCTCGGTGACTTCACAGATGGTGAACTTTTCAAATCATGGTTCGAACCTGGAGAGATCTTTGAAAATAAGAATCCAGAGTCATGTGTGCCACTCTCGTTGTTTACGGATGGTGTGAATCCAAACAAGAACAGTGCTTGTCAAAAGTCCATGTGGCCCATCATGTTGACATGGATTACTTTGCCCCCATCAATCCGACAATTACTTGGACCAATGCTCCTTATGGGAATCATACCAAGTGGTGTAAATGGCAGCGAACCAAAGTCATTGGATCCATACCTATCCATCGTGGTAGATGAACTTTTAACTCTAACAGAGTTCCCAGTGTATGATTCTTACCGCTCAGCTCCAACGACAGTTAAAGTGGCCCTACTACAGTATTTGTGTGACATACCAGCCTATTCCAAGGTGATGCATTTGACCGGCCATGCAAGTTTGAGATCTTGTCCGTACTGTAGAGAAACAGGACATTATTGTAAGCACTTGAGGAAGACGATTCACATTTCAAACAGACAGTTTCTTCCCTTTGGTCATCCTCTGAGGAGTGCCAGTGGATTTGCCATAGATGGACAAGAAGAAAGAAACAAACCAAGTCCTTATACTCAGGAGGAGGAGAACAGAATGCGCACCCAGTATGAATTGAAACCAAACAAAACACAGAAAGCAAACCAACAGAAGTCAACAGGGTTGAAAGGAAATTATATTCTACAGCAGCTTCCTTACCATGACAGGATGAGACAAATGTCACCAGATGGGATGCATACCTTGGCAGACTTTATTAGTCATCTGATGGAAATGCTAGTTGGTAAGCAGAATACACAAAAAGTTATGTCCTGCGAAAAGAGTTTTGGTCGCTTTGATGAAGTATGGAAAAGTGCTGCCGAGGAGCAAGCCAGTATTGATCGCCCAAAATAGAAGAAGAAAAGAAATGTTGAAAGTGAACAGTCATTAGTTGATTCAACACCATGGTCACTCTCGAAGGAGCAGATTAAAACT